GTTGCTTCTCAGCCACATGGCCACTTGTTTACCTTCAAGTGTTTAAGACCCCAGGTGCTATATCTTTTGATAGTCGGGCACCATCAGTTTTCTTCACCACATTTTTTTATGCACACATTTTGTCTTCAGCGATTGTTGTCGGGAAGGTGAGCATCACCCCCCAGCCTCTCACACACAGGCGTACCAATCTCACTTTCCATCATGATCTGCTGATGGGAAGTGGAGGAAAGGAAGGGGTAGAAAGTGATAGGTGTGCCAGAACATGAATGTTCACCCGCTCAGCTCCATCAAGGTACTCAAGTGGCCACAGGGTCCATCTGGGTGGCGGATTTCTGAGGGGTGGGTGTAGATGCCTCCAGGCTTCTCTTTCTTTCTCTTTCCCTTAGCCCACTCTCTAACCTTCAAAGGATGACTCCCCAAACCACAGACTGGCCTAGATAGTTCTCTGAAACAACTGTCCTGCAGAATCACTCAAACTTGGGTTAAAAATAATCTCCATCTCTAAAAGAAGGTTGGGTCCCTGGAAATAAAGGCCTCTTAGAAATGTTTTCACTCTGTAAAGGGCACGGGCAAGCTGACCCAGCTTTATCCCCAGAGTTCTTTTCAGTGCCCTCCCTGTCCTGGAAACCAATCTGTACTTGACATCTTTTCACGGACCTTTCATTTCTGCCCTCCCTGTGGAAGGGAGTCAGGGAAGGCAGTATCTGAAGCACCTAGAAGCACCTAGCCTGTTCCTATCTATAGTACCCCAGCCACGCTACCCACTCGGTGTCATTAGTTCCACTTCACAAGTGCCCAGATGGGCTCAGACTTTAAATAACTTGCCTGAATTCATCCAACCAGTATAAAAAGTGAGACGTTTCCCCTCAACTCTTTTCTATCTCTCTAGTGCAATCCATCCGCCCTGAAATAAGATCTTATCACACCTCAGGTTCACATCAGCACTGAGAAGGTTAAGACACACAAGTCTTCAGCAGATACCATAAAATTCTGAATATGGGTTAGAATTCTGCATTAGCAAGAGACAGGTTTCTAAATAGCAATTCACCACAAGGATGCCTGGTCCCTTATTGATGGCTTTTCCTAGTGAAGGAGGAACATATTTTCCTGGGTGGTGCGTGCGAGTGAGGTTCAGCTGCCCGATGTCACCAGTAGGCCTGGTTTCTCTGTTGCAATAGGGATCAAAGTCTATCAAGTTAAATGAGAGGCACCCACTGAACTCTCAACCTCTATAGCTATGATGGGGGGGTGGGGGGGTCGGGGGCTGACTAAGGAGAAGACTCCTTCCATGCCCTAGCTTTTTATTCTGTAGTCAGAAAGTCCAAAGCAGATTTAGGGTAACAAGAGAAGGCAAAGCCATTCCCACTGCCTAGGGAAGATCCTCATGACAGAAAGGTGAGTGGTTACCTGCTGCATTGATTCATCCTCTGCATCATGAATTCAAGGGGAACGCAAAGAACAGATTCCTGAAAACCACATGGTGCTTCTCAGAGAACACAGTCAAGGCATTCCAAGCCCCAGATCCACCTGCTGGAGGAGTAGCCAATCTGCTTAATCTATGAATGACAGATTCTGTCCTGCAAAGATCCTGCAGTAGATGCAGGAGGAGAACTGGCCAAGAAAGGTAGCACCATAACTGTTGTGCCCCAAGCCTGCGGAGAGTACATATCTACAGGCCGTTCTAGACCACCTTCCAGGACCCAGAAGATCCCTGCCAAATTAGCTCTGCCCTGAGCCTCTTCTTCTCCAATGTGCTGGGTGGCCATGGGAGCCACTGGGGGATAGAGTGTGCAATGATAGAATGAGCTTGGATATGCCGGCTGAAAGGCCCACACACATGAGAAAGACCCTTTGTAGGGTAGGATGGAGCAAAGGATGGGAAAACAGGTGTTGAGAGTAGATTTTCATTTGCATTCTTACCTCAATCGCACAATGTTAGGAGCAGGACTTCCATGATATGTATCAGGCTGTGATGTTATTCGCCAGTGGCCCAGGGGAACCAGCACACAGGAACTACGTAGAGTGATCCCTCATAATGTTGGTCTGAAAGACCCGTGGGTCTTTCATGTCTCAGCTACTGAGAAAGCCTCACACAGCCATCTAGCTGCCAGAGACCAGAGGGGAGATGGCTAAGGAAGGAAAAACAAAAACAAAAAGCTTGGTTCCAGAGATGAGTTCTAGGATACCAGCTGTGAGTTAGGTTTATTGTGCCAACCTGGCCAATAGAAACATGTGGGTGAAGAGTAATCAGGTCACCGATTGATTGGAGGGCAAAAAGATAAATGACTCTGCAAGGCCCACCCCCATCTCTCTTGCTCTCTGGTGATTGGACCAGCATGTTGCAGCTTTAGCTAGATTTCTGCCTCAACCTGTGTTCTACACTACCTGTGGACCAAGGCAACCCATGGATTGTGTCCCTAGAGTTTCAGGCTCCTCCGAGACCTGCTTCACCACTCTGCTGGTGCATACATTGCCTGGGTTTAAGACTAGTGGATCCTGCCACTGTGCTTGAGCTCAAGATCCCATCAGGGCCTGCTTTGCTAAGCTCCTGAGCTACCGACTGTTGCTGACCCACCCTGTCTGCTGCCTGCCTTGCCTGAGGAAAGACTCCATTGTCTGCGTCCTTGACCTTGGACCAGGCCACCCATGAGTTGAAGGACTTCCAGTATATTAACTGTTTCACGAAAGTGAGTTGAACTGAGCCTTCTGTACTGCTGTGTGGACTAATTAGCTGTTATATTCCTTCTCACTATACAAACCTAGCTTGGGCTTCGTCACAGTTTGGCAGTCTACAGTGTCACTTCTGCCACCTTCTACTGGTCAAAGTAGCCCACCAGAGGAAGGAAATCAGACTCCATCTCATAGTGGGTGGAGTGACACACACACTAGGATGGAAAGGAATTGATAGTAGCCAACATTGGCATCTGCCTTCCACAGCTGTCAGCTATTTTATTCAACTATTTATTCACCTTGCATTCTCCTTCCCCCTTTCCAAAAGGGTAACTAGGCCTTTATATGGCCTTATTCCAAAGGTGAAGCAGGGTTCAGGGGGTGTCATGGCCAACAGGGATGTATGTACCCTCACCTGCTGACACGACACTGGAGGGACAGGAAGCTCCAGGGGCATGACTGGGTAGTTCATCTACAGAGAACGGAACAGAGGCACCAGGGATCCGACTCATCAAACTCAACAGGGAAGAAGAAACGTAGTTCATTGTCTCAGATACCGACAAGGCTCTGAGAGGAAGGGCATCAGTGTAACTCCTTCCTCTCAGAGCCTTGTCGGTATCTGAGACAATAAACTACGTTTCTTCTTCCCTGTTGAGATGTACTCATTTGACCCACACTCCAGACACGTCTTACTACTTAAGCCCGGGGAAGTAGCGGATCCCTAATAATGACTCGGTTTGAATTTCATACCAAACTAGTACTCAGTGAATAGACTTGCAATTTAAATAAAATCTAGCATTGCTTACATAACTGAGATTCATGTGTATCCTGCTATTATTAAACCCTCAATCCCAAGATTATCAAAGCCAGACTGAAGTAAAATCCATCATGTAGGAAGTTCATATCCAATGCCAATACCATTTAAAAATACAACAAAATACCGCGCATGTGGATTGGGTAAAGCCTGACAGTGTACTTGTCAGGATTTTATGGTTGGGTGCTTGTTTACAATGGTGGGCATGGTCCCCTCTGCAGGCCTGGAGTCACTGTCAGCTCCTACAAGGGGCACACCACAGCCCTCTCCATCTTCAGGCCTCACCACTGGCAACCCCAAGTCATGTCCCCACAGCGGTACTGGGCCCAGCCCCCCCACAGCACTAAGGAAACCAATAGCTGATGCTCTCTGACCAGTGGGTTTGGGCGGGTGTCAGGATCCATTGAGCATACATCATCTCTCTTGTCTTTATCTGATAAGAAGTGTGTGACACGAGCTCCAGATGTAGGGTTACTGGGTACTTCCCAGGGTACCCAGCAAACCTAGGGCTCATTTTGAACTCCAAGCGAATTGCTCCAAGGTAGGCTAGCATGGGCCAAGCAAAGGTGAACTGCACTGTCTTTGATCCTAAGTTTGAGGTCCACGTGTATGAACAACGGTGCTCAGGGTACGAGGGGTGAGGGCGCTGAGGAAGAGTGAAGCCAACCTCAATTTCGGTTTTAGTGTTGGATTGGGCTGCCCAATGGGAATGACTTTGTAAAATCACTTTGACCTGTCCCTGTGGGGTGAGGTGCCAGGTGGCCACAGGCCACTGTAGAGCACACATGCATGTCCCTGTCAGGGTGGTGTTCCGTTCTTCTTTGGGGATTCATTAGAACAAAGGACAGATAAAAGGCTGAGGGGGCAGCTCTCAAATGCTCAAGGACAGATATGCATTGATAATGGACAGGAACCATGGGCCCCAAAAAAGACAACTTGATGGTGGGGGCTTCCAAATAAAACCAAACAAACTCACTGCCACTCATAGTGACCCTAGAAGAAATGCTCCTGTGTGTTTCCAAGACTGTAACTCATCTTCCTCTCGTTCTCCCCAGAAAGGAAGCTGGGCTATAATGTAAGTGCTGCGGACACAACAACGAGGGTACATCCCCTTCCCCACTTTTACACATCTCCAATTCTCCCCACACCAGATGATGACACTCCCCCAGTCCCCACACCCCACCAGGTGTGGAGTGTTGAGTGGGTCTAACTTGCCCCAGGTTACTTGGCTCAGGAATACAGGACAAGGATTCAATCCTAGGTCTCTTGCCTCCCGGGATAACGTGTTTGTTAACAAAAAAATCCCAGCAGCAAACACTGACAAATCCCCACTTACAGGCTCAGAAACATCCGAAGGAAAAAGGATTTGCACAGGGCAGCTGTGAGCCCCTGGGCTGATCCTTCACTTCCATCCCTGGATTTCTTCATTCCACAGGCACAGCATGTCTGAACCAGCAAGATTTATCCCTTCTCTCTCTGAGTAGAGATTGGAAATAAACAACAAGACACCAGCAGGTAAGCGAAGTGCTTTAATTTATATAAAAGTATGGTAATACAGCAAGATTTGATTTGGATGTTTGTGTGTGCACATGTGTTTTATTTTTCTGGCATGTGAAATTTATAAAAGACACCTGGAATTAAAATTAGAAACATGACTTAATAAAACTTGGAGACATAAACATTTCAAGAAAACAGGGTCACTTTGGAATCCAATGGGGAGACAACCATGAGCAGCAAAAGCAGCAGCAGCACGGGAAGAAAGTTGGTTCTGTTATGAGGTCAAAACAATTAAGGACCACGGTGAACTTGACCTTTTGCACCAGGGTGAGCTAAAGGGTAGGGGGTCAGAGGGCTCAGGACCAAGGCATGATGATTTCTCCTAGGAGGCTATACTGTGGGCTTCTGGCCCGTGGGTAGTGAGTAATAGCCTCCCATAAACAGGTCCCACCCTGCCCTCCTTCCACAGGACCTACCAGCCAAGTGGCAGTGATTCCTAGCCAAACCCCCATGGCTCACCAATCAAGGACTGGCGTCCACACTGTCCAATGGCTTCTGACCTGTAGCTCTGCTGATTACTATCCCACTGAGGTGAACTCAGCAGGTGGGGAGACTCCTCACAATGTCATCCTAAGTGAGGATGGCAAGCTTGCCAGGGGGGACCGAGATAAGGAGACACACTGGGCTGCACACACAATACCGTTTGGAATGCCTGCACCATAGCCAATGCAGAGTTAGGACCACCCGGAACCTCAGGCCACATTCCCAGCCTTTCCCTCTACCGAAAGGGCACCGAGGCTGGCCACTCAAAGGACGTAGACAAGTTCTTGACTACATCCTGAGGTAGTCTGTGACTTACACACGTAGCTGAGAATGACACACACACCAAGAAAAGCTGGGTGTGGGGAGGGGGGGTACACAAAGAGTTGTCACAGAGAGAGGTGGCTAACATATAAAAGAAGGAACTGGACTACACGTGGGCTCAGAGATGACCAGAGGACGGCCTGGGTGTGGCAGGCCTGCAGGGAGCCTGGCACACACAGCTCCTCCCTGCTGTCGGGCCGTGTCACAGCAGTGGGATAGGAGGTGGGGGAATCTGTGCAGTGATTGCCCAGCAACTCTGAGATGAGGGCTGTTTGGGGGGACGGGGGCTGTCTGGTCAGTTTTCAACTCACAGTGACCCAATGACCCCGGGGTGAGTAGAGCTGCCCCTGCTGGCTTTTCTAGGCTGTAAATCTAGAAACAGACAGCCTGTTCTTTTCCCCATGGGGCAGCTGGGCAGGTTCAAGCTGTCCGTCTTTAAGGAAGCAGCTGAGCTTAATGGCTACAGCCACCAGGGCTCCTCTGAGATGAGAGCGCCTTAAGCACTGTCTCCTGCTGGACTCATATCATGCTGGAGATACGCCGGAGGACCTGAAGGCAGCAGGGTAGAATCCCAGAAGCCCCTTCAACTGTGGCTCCTCTAACTGGTGTATGATTGGATCTGAGCATCTAATGCTGTTGGACTTTAACTTGGAAAACACGTATTTGGTCCCTGCACATGAGGGAGCAATCAGACCCTAAGCCACTATTAAAAGAGAAACAACAAGAACAAAAAGCAAAGAAAGGCATTCTTAAAAAAGAAAGAAAGAAAAGCATTCTTAGATAGCCTTTTTTTAAACACTGATATTCTTTTTCTTTCTGCCCAACGTTCAGAAGTCAGGATGAAATTCACTGAACATGCAGGAGGGAACATCGGATTGGACATTAATATTTCCTCTGCTTTCCACATTTCCGTGAACGCTTTATAGGACGCAGCTCACCAAAGTCTTCACCTTCATTGTCGTATTCATCCTCCTGAACGATGCCTATTAAAAGCACAGAAATGAAGAACAGAGGGTGATTTTGTTTTCACTCGACTGCATAATGTCTCTGCACTGCCAGAAAAACAGACAAATCGGTCACGGAAGTACAGCCAGAATGTGCCTTAGCTGGGAAGATGGTGAGACCTCATCTCACGTCCTACAGACGTCACACTTGGTAAACTGGAGGGTCCATGAAAAAGAAGAAGACTCAATTAGATGCACTGACACAGTGGTTGCAGCAATGAGCGTAAACAGCAACAACTGTGAGGATGGCCTAGGACGTGGCAATGTTTTGTCCTGTTGTGGACAGGCCCCGCTATGAAATGGAACAGAATTGACGGCAGCTAACAACAATGAAAAACAAAGATTTAAATAAAATTTTAAATAACTAATGTCTCAATGATGCTTGCTTTAAAGTAAAGATGTGAAGAAATAGGATTTGCTTTGAGTATTGCTAATACTTCCCATGATGACCCAGAGAAAGCATCGTTCTCTGGAATTAAGGTTTATTTACAGACTGGTTCCTCTGGCCTGTGGTCTTGTCAGGTAAGGGTGGTACAGTTAACCTCAAGGTTGTCGGTCCAAGCTCACCCACTGCTCCAGGGGAGAACAATGAGTTACCATAAAGCTTTACAGACTCAGAAATGCTATAGAGCAATGGTCCGCAACCTGTGGTGGGTTGCAACCCTTTGGGGGTCAAACGACCCTTTCACAGGGGTCGCCCGATTCATAACAAGCAAAATTATAGTTAAGAAGTAGTACAAAAATAATGTTATGGTTGAGGGGGTCACCACAACATGAGGTACTGTATTAAAGGGTCGTGGCATTAGGAAGGTTGAAAACCACTGCTATATAAGGTCAAAGTGAATCAGAATCTACTTGACAGCAATGGGTTTGGACTTTTTTGGTCTAAAGGACATAGCCATCAAATAAGACCTAAATTCAACCACAAGCAAAGTTAGTATACCAAGATTTTAAGCATTCACAAAGCCATGGTGCTCAGCAGGAACTATATTCTAAAGATGTATTTTTTTAAAAAGCCCTGACATTTTCCTCCCAATTTCTTTGAACTCTTCCTTGGTTCAAAGGTCCAGATCCCAGTACATTCCATATTATGAGAATTCACAGAGGGTCATCAAGAGCTGACGGGAGTCCAAACAAGATGACATGTGGTCCACTTGGCAATTCTACTTTAGGTGTATATCCAATTGACTCAAAAGCAGGGACTCACACAGATTACATACAGGCCAATGTTCACTGAAGCATTAGTCACAATAGCCCCAAACAAAAAATAACACATGTCTATCAACACATGGATAAAAAAACCAATGCACGAAATATTATATAATTTAGCCATAAAGAGAAACTCTAGAAGTTGAAGATAGATGTAGAATGCCAATTTTCCTTATCCAAGATAGTCCACCCTTGTCTTCTCTTCTGGCACTGAAGGCCCAGGCTACAGACTCACTCTGCTCAACCCACAATCATTACCATCGAGGCAATTCTGACTCACAGCAACCTGTATGGTTTCCAAGGCTGTAAACCTTGATGGGAGCCGAGAGCTTCATCTTTCTCCCTCAGAGTGGCAGGTGGGTTTGACAGTCAACCTTGCAGGTAACAATCCAATGCTTACCCAACAGGACTACCTGGAGTACTTAAAACTACAACTATTGACTATAGGCACACTGAAAAAGGGGTCAAGAGTGAGACAGGGCTCACTGGTCTAGGCAGTCTATTGTTATCATCCATATACTGTCTCTCACTTTTGCTTCTCAAATCCTCGAATGCCTTAAACACTGTCCCTTACCACCTTCTTGCGGCCACAACATACCCACTTTGGATCCTTTCTGCCTACTTGAAATGTCCTTTGCTTACTTCTGACAAGCAGCATTCAAGAGACCTAGGCAGACTATCTGATTTCTAAGCCAAGAGCTTCCCAGTTCTCCCTTTTTCCTCCTGATCCCATCATCCCTGGAGGTAGTGGTACACTCTGACCTCTGCTTAATGTCCAAATTCCTACTCTCCCCAGTGATGTAGTGGTTACAAGTTGGGATGTAATCCTTGAGGGCCAGCAGTTCAAAACCACCAGCCTTTCCAAGGGAGAAAGACAAGGCTTTCTATTTTTGTCAAGAGTTTTGTCCTAAGAAACCCACAGAAGCAGTTCCACCTTGTCCTATAGGGCTGCTATGGGTTGACATCCACTCGAGGGCAGTGAATTTTGAGTGAGTGTATCTTCAGAGTCCACCCTCCTTCACATACAGTCACCCGCAATCATCAATAACTTAACCACATAACGGTACTTCACCTGCCAGACTTACCTTTCTGCTCAGGCTGTTTTAATCCCAACCTAGTAATTGAACCAACCAACCTTACCCTACTGGCATCCATGTTGGGGAAGGGAATCTGCTTGGCTACGCACAAGCCGTTAACCCTCTGTGGGAGGGTGCAGCCCAGTGTCCCCTAGGATCTTGTTTGGTTTTTTCACAGGTGTGTCCCCAGGCCCAGAACCCTGCTGATACATACTAGACAATCAACAATTATTTATTGAAGTAAAAACTGAGTGCTGAACCCCACCAGACTGGAAGCAGGAGTGGTACCGAGGGGCACCTGTCAGATTCTGAAAGAAAAAAGAGATGTTTAAGAGCCAGGTAGATCAGCTCTAGCTTTTATTGGGGAATTCCCAGACAGAGATGGTGCCAACATTCCTGCAGTAAGCAGCAATGTGTGGAGTCACCCCGGTAGAGGTCAACACAGAGGACAGTGTGGAGTGTGGATTTATACACCCAGTGCTTACATATAAGGATATCTGCAAGGGGCAGGAGAAACCCCATCTAGCGTGCACAGGTTAGGGCTGCTTTGTACTAGTAAATGGGTGCCAATTACATTACTATGAAGTCAGGGGGTTGGTGGGTTTTTCCTGGCTCTGGTCACTGCTCAGTAAGGTACTCTGGTTCTCTTCCAGAGTCCTCTGTGGGCAGGATCCACTTTGTATTGTTCAGGGTCCTCCCGTCGACACAAACATTTATCAAGGGATGGCTTTGCAATACATCCTTCCTTCGGAGTCTCAGTACTCAGCATGAATAGTGACTGAGAGTCATCCAACAATAGCTCATGACTAGCAAAGCGGGTTTTGGCAAACAACGAGAGCCTGGACTAACTGCCCTCTCAGTATAGACCGCTGCTGCATGCTGCTGCTCATAAGCTGCCTTGCTGGGGGTGCTGCTCCCAGACAGTGAGTGACCACGATTGACCTCACTGGGCAGCCTCATCCAGATTCATGTGGGTTGACAGTATCTAGAACCACGAGACCAAAGCATTGCCCCATCTAAGGCTACCGGATGGCTTACCTTCCTCCTGTAAGTGGAGCTCGGTTTTCCTCAACCACTCCTTCGCATCCCTGACCGACGGGATCAGAATGTTGACCAGTTTGGTCATCACCTCCTTCCCTAAAGAAGCCAGAGAACAAGGACTCTGAGTAAGGAGGCCGCCAGAGGTACTGGAACGCCAACTACTGAAGCAGAGTCCCTCCCACAAACGCCGGTCTGTGTGCATGTGCTTCTCTAGAGAACTACAGGGTAAGGACCCACAGTTGTCTTCGGCCACAAGATGCAGGAAGCACAGCCAATGAGCTACCATTACGATGCTGACCTGACACAATGACCACTAAGTATACTGGAAGAAACTGGCAATAGCAAGCCTTTTCAAGGAAGCTCATGCTCAAATGTCATTAAGCCTCAAACTGAAGAGGGTGTCTGAATTATTTAATATGGTTTCAAACATGCATTCGCATTTTATACCTGACTTACACTTAGTGTTGCTAGGGAAGGTTGTAAGGGAATCTGATTCCAGTACCACCTAAGAATTGCTGATGAGAAAAGGCTCACATTGCGTATGATTTAAGTCCTTGTAGTTATTGGCGTGGGCCATTGAGCCGATTCCAACTCATTGCAGCCCTACACGGCAGAGTAGAGTGCCCCCATAGGATTGACCAGGCCGTGATCTTTAGAGAAGTGGATCACAGCATCTTTTTCACCAGCAGAGTCACTGGTGAGTTTGAACTGTCAACCTTCCAGTTAAGTAAAGATCAATGAGAAGACTAGTTACTTATCTCCAGATACCAGTCAAGGGTTCAGCACATAGGAGGTGCTCACGAAGCGTTCACTGAATGAGTGAATCAAGAGAACCTTCGCCACCTAGTGAATGTAGTGACTGTTACTGAGTTGTATACTTAAAAAAGGGTGAGAATGGCCACAGTCTTGGGGAGGGGTTCCCACCGGCTTCTGTATCTGATCAGTAAGCCTGTTTCTTTTATGACTTCAGTTCTGTTCCCCATTTCTCTCTCTCTCTCTCTCTCTCTCAAAAAAATAAAACACAGTGACCCCCTGTGGATTTCTGAGAACAGTTTACAGGAGTGGAAAATTCATCTTCCAGGAGCTGTGGGCTGGTTTCCAACTGCCCACCATGCGGATCACTGCCCAATTTGGAACCCCTGCACCACCAGGACTCCACCACTCGCCCTCTTACTCTCGGACCTTCTAATATGATCCTTTTCAGATGATCTGCTCCATCAGCCATCACCCATTCACTATTACAAGTTTTAAAAATATGTCTTTTTAAAGGGAAAAAGTAGTGAAAATGGCAAATGCCTTCATATATACATATATATACGTATGTGTGTATCACAATAAAATCAGGACCTCAAGACCTTAAACATTCTCCTTTCCTCAGTCTTCAATAGTGCCAGGAAACCCAATCAGCCCAGCTGAACACAAATCCCAACTGCGGGTAAGGGATGACCCAAACGATGAAGTTTTGCTCTAATTGGAAAACACACACTTCTCACGTTTCTGCTAATGACAAACACCCTGACCTGACTCAGGTGCTGCTTGTATTCTTGAATCCCCCCACCCCCACCCCGGCTTCGGATTGGTTTCTAGCGTACTGGGTCTCCTGTGGCCGGGACCCCCCTTACCGGCTCTCCAAGCCTTCTGCCTGTAGAGTTCCTCCACCTTGTCGCAGACCTTCTTGATGTTCTCCTGGACCTTCCTCTGCAGCATGTGGCTGTGCTCCTTCGAGCCCAGGTGGCTGCGGATCCACATGCTTTGCTCGATGTCCTGCACCACCAGTTTGCCTTCATCAATGGCCGGATCGACCTTCTCGAGGAAGAAGGCCGCGTATTTCTGGTAAGCCGCTTGCTGCCGACGGTGGCCTTCCAGGCGGATGTGCTGCTCATAGGACTCGCTGTTCAGTTCCAGGCCCTCTTCCCCTTCCAGCTTGGCCCTGACAAGGGCTGCTACCTCGGACCCTGCCTCCTCAAACGCTTCCCGGGGGTTAAAGTAGGTCTCGCGGATGAACTTCACGCCACACAGGTCACACTGGGTCCGGTCGACGTCGGCCCTTTTGAAGTTGCTGGCGCTGGGCTCGCGCGGCTCCTCCCAGAAGCGCTCGGCCTGGGCGCTCACCCTGCGCCACCAGCTGACGCACAGGTGGGACACCACCAGGCACACTCTCCTCAGCTTGCGCTGCAGGGACGCCTTCCGCTGCTTCTGGGAAAGGATGGCGGCCAGGTGGTCATCTCGGTCCTCCAGGGCCACCTCCTCCACCGCCTCCTGGTCGAACCCGTCTTCCGACTCGGCGAAATAGTCCCCAGCTTCCGCGCAGAATAAACGGTCGAGCTTGGCCTCCTCGTGAACCAGGCCGCGGGCCCTGTAGTGGCCGCTCTCCCAGCGCCAGTGGCAGTCCATCAGGTACTCCTCATCCCGCTCAAAGAGCAAGGTCTCCAGCGCCATAGCCATCGCCTTCACGTCGAGGGCCATCTGCACACGCCGCAGAATGCGGAGAAGCCTCAGGGGCACCTGGGCCCGGTAGCTGGCCTTCAGCAGCTTCAGCCGCCTGTCCATCTCGGGGAAGTGGCGGCGCAGGAGAGGCTTGCAGTAGGGCTGCAGCAGCTCCTGGGCGTTCACCAGCATCACCAGGCACAGCACCAGGCACCGCTCGGCCTCGCCGGAGACCACGTAGTTGATGTCCCCGAAGGCGTCGAGCAGGACGTTGAAATTCACATTCTCAGAGCCGCAGAGCACCTTGACGAGGTAGGAGAGGTGGGACCGCAGGTCCTGGACGGCTCTCGGCACGTCCTTGGGCTTGTACTCTTGGATGAGGAGGAACACGTCCCCGAATCCCTTGTCCCTCTTGCAGAGCAGGAACTCCCAGTAGTGCAGGAGGGAGATGTAGCTCCTGGGGAGGCACAGGATGGTGCTCCTCCTGAGGCGGGCCACCATCACAGCACAGTGCATGAACTGGAACTCCAGCAGGGCCACGGTGTTCCCGATGCTGGGAATGAGCGGTTCCTTGCACCGCCTGATGGGGACGTTCATGAAACGGGAAAAGAGCATCGTGTAGTCCTCGGGGTTCTTGTACACGTAGAACTGGTCGATGCAGTTCTCCAGCAGGCGGATGAAGCAGAGGTGGATCTTCTCAGTCCCTTCATCATCCTTGTTGGGCACCAGCATGCCGAATTTCCCTTCGACCCCTTTGATTCGGCTGCCCCTGCCCCGGTCTTCCTTTTCAGCCTCGAGCGCCTTGAGCTCCCTGTGGTAGCTGTCCTCCTCTTGGTGGAGCAGCTTTTCAAACTCCTCCGGGAAGTTGGAGGAGACTAGGAACACCTGCATGGCCCTCAGCCACAGGTCCGTGGACTCCCGCCGGTTGCGGGCGCTATCGTTTTGAAAGAGGAAGTGGATGTACTGTTTCAAAGCGAACCTGTAGGGTCGGAAGGATTTGTAATGGGGCTTGAGGATTTCTTTGCATGCCATGGGGTTCTCGGAAAGCATTCGCTGATAGAAATGCTTGGGGAAGAGGACATTCAGAAAAGATTTGCAAGGGCCGTACATGTCTGGGGACAGAACATAATCAATTTCGTCAAGTCCTTCAGCTAGGATTTTAGGGAAGGTTTGTTTGGCTTCCAAAAGCAATCCGTTGATTGCCACAAGGTGTATTTTTGACTGAACCAGACACTTGGCCTCATAGCGCCGCAGAGGCCGGTGGAAGTCTTGACAGTTCTCATCTTCACATTTTAAGCCCACGGTAAACCTCGCGCAGATGCCTGGGTAGGGCTTCGCCAGCAGGCTCTGTGAGATCTGACACAACCTGCTCAGGAGGTGCCTGTTGAGGGCGAATTTCACGTGCTCCGTCAGTATCAAAAAGTGATCTTTGGTTTTCTTCTCTTCCGAGGTTAAATCCAGGTCAACGATTATTCTTAATATGGGCCCAGGGTCGTTCTGTGCTATCTGGCAATATTTCACATCCACTTGGGAAATTCCAAAAAACTCAAAGCACGATTTGACCATTTCCTTCTCAGCATTGTTCGTGACTTTTTTCAGGGCCCTGACCAGATTGAGCAGGACTTCCAAGCCCGCCGGGGCCAGGGCCAAGATCTTCTCGGGCTCAGTCTCACAGTGGCTAGCTACTTCATAGAGTGCTTCCACCACACCGGCTGAGTGGTTGAGCGTGTCAAAGTTGAAGAAGGCCCTTTTGAGCTTCTGAAAGTCTCTCAGGATCACCCCCTGCAGGAACTGGGCCTCAGCAATGCCAGACAACTGGCTGGTTTGATAGCACAGATCGAGGGCTTCTCTCAGAATGCCCTGGGTATGTTCCAAGTCAGAATCCCTGGCCACATTGAGGCGGGCCGCCCCCAGCAGGCATGAGGCCTGGAACTCCTTGTTGGTGGTGAGCCTGGCAGCCTCCAGGAGGTAGCCGTGTTGCTTCATCAGCAGGGCAGCCTCCTCTTGCCTGCCCTCTCTCTTCAGCAGGTCTGCGGCTTCTGCTAGTCGCTTCCGGGACTTCAGGAACACCAGCTGGTCTTCTATGTCTAGCTTTGAGAGGACAGACATCATTTCATTGATCTTACTTGCACTGAGATACTTTGCTGCAGCTTCCAAGTAGAGCTGGCTGGAAGAGTAGGACAGTTGGGAGATGGGAAGGGTCTTGGCCTTTAGCATTTCTTCATACCTGCAAAAATAGAGAATACAAATGTCAGCTTATTATCACCCACCCAATGGAAATTTCTCTCCAAAAGGCAGAGTAGAAAAAGGTTTAAGAAAATCCACGCATGTCACTATCACACTGATCAAATGTGCTTACAAATGCTTCTTTTTATGCTAAAACAAACCAAAAAACCTTTATTCTCAAAAGGAGCCAATAACTGGTGAGTTTAATTTATAAAATATAATGGAGTTGCAGTTCAAGGAGATGACAGTCTGAAAGTCAATCAGTGAAGCAAAAAGCATACATATTCAAAACTGTCCTTGAAAAACTATTCCTCATACTCCCATAAAAGAAAAACTCAAACCCCTTGATGGCCATTGCGTCAGCTCCGTCTCATGGCATCGCAAAGTCTGAGCCTGACTGCTTGGGTGCAGACTGGAAGTGCACACCACTGTTTGCAAGGCAGTGGCTTTTCAGAGACAGGCCTTTCTTCCCGATACATTCGAACCAACAACCTTTATATCACTAGATGAATGCAAACCTCTTCCACTACCCAGGCAAGGGCCCTTTTAAGCTTCCACAAAGCATGGCAATCATTTTAGGTACATAACTCTGTCCAGTTCAGTACGTGATGAGTGAGCAACAAAGAAGATGGGAGCTGGAAACCCTGACAATTACATGTGGGTTTTCTCTTCAGCCAAATATGCATGGTTGCCCGAGTGTGAGATTCCTGAGGCTCAGGTGGGCTCCCTTGACTCTGCTGATCAGTGGGCATATTCGGACATCCCGCCAAGTCTCAGAACATCAGAATATAAGTTCCCAAACTTATTTGGCCTACCACCTCCTTTTCAGGGAAAAATATTACTAAGGCCCTCCCTGGCAATTGAAAACTTTTATACTAAAGCCTATAATCCAGGAATAAGTGTAGGTATCTACTTTTGCAGCCCCACTGGATCATTACAGGGTGCGCTGTATCCCCTGGGAAACACTACACTAGAACAACCCAATACAATCTGTTTTCTCATGATAGAAAGTGCCTAAGGGGCCATCTTGTATATCAGAGAGAGAGAACAAACAAACCCACTGCTATCAAGTCTATTCTGATTGATAGGGACCCTATATAGGATTCCCGAGGTTATAACTCTTTACAGGAGTGAACTGTCTCCGCTTGCTCATGAGGATGAACTGGTGGGTTTGAACCAGTAATTCAACACTTACCCAACGATGCCACCAGAGGACCTAAAATCATCAGATTTCCTAGTGCAAAACTTCCATCAAAATGAGTAAATAAAGCATCAAGAAGGCAGTATACTCTGATGAGCATTAGCTATATGGAGTTTTTGGAGGCTATATGGAGTTTTTAGCAAGTTTAAGAGCCCAGATAATCTCTTTATAAAACAAAACATTTTTTACTGGAGTACTGTATTGCAGAGTAAATGCAAACTAGCACATCTTGTCTTCAACTATAAATACTTCCATATATATTTCTAACAGAAAAGGAGTTTATTAACAAAAGCACCTTGCCACTACCACAATAAAATGAATAAGAACACCCTCCTATCTTCTAATATTAAGGACCCTCGGTGGCATAGTGGGTTGATTATGCATCGGGCTGCAAGCTGCAAGGTCGGTGGTTTGAGATCACAAGGCACTGCTCTGAAGACAAGCCTTTCTATTCCTGTAAAGAGTTAACAGCCTCAAACCCACAGGAGCAATTCTACACTGTCCTACAAGGTCAGTGTGAGTCAGCATTGACTCAATGGCAGTGAGTTTAATGTCTTCTAATACTGATTCTACACTGAAATGTCCCACTTGTGGGTGCTGATTTGGAAGAATAATACACATTGCTTTGGTTGATATTTTTCTTTCTTTTCTGTAAAAAAACAATAGCGAGTAGGGTCCTTTAAGTCCTTCTAAACCTCAGAAACTAGTGGGGCCAGCAGGCTGGACACGGAACCCCGGGAATCCCTGACCTTATAGATGGCATCCTGAGAGGGTAGTGGGAATACGTGAATTTATAGCCAGCAGGTCAGAAGCATTAGTGCAGAGAGGACTCTCCAAGGATATGGCTGTTGTCTGCGGTCATGAGCCCTTTTAGCAATCTAAATTTGCCTGTGTTAGCCTTCCCTTTCACCCAAGTTAATAAGTTCTTACCCTCTAGTTAGTGATTTGTCCTCCCTTTTCTTCCCACCACTGTTAACCATCAAAAAATCTTTCTAACTTAAGAACTTGGTGAAACTACTTATAAAGGAGGAATAACCCCAACTGCCCTTCATCTCCAAGGAATAGAAAATTTTATTGCCCATGTCTAGGGTTGGTGTTTCTCTTTCAAATGTAAAATATCCTTAAAGCACCTTTGGTTGGGCCAATTAGCAAACGAGCTTTACATTCATTATACACAGCATTCAAAGGGCAGGCACAGAAATCTAATGTGAGCTTCCAGTTAATAAGACTTTTTTCCAAGTCTAAAAAGTCATGGGAAAATTGGATTAAACGATAACGGAAGGTTTCCAAAGACTTTCTAAAGTCCCCTCTACCCCGTCCCCAATACTCAGCCTAACTACACTCATAGCTCAAACCAACATATCATTGAAACCTCTCTTATTTGGTTTGGTTATCTGAACTCATAAGGTACTTGAGTAAGGTCTGCTTAAACATCACCGAATCACACACACTGTGTGTATCAGTACAGTGGCTTATCCATGTTTACTTAACCCAATTAATCTGATCCTCAATAAATGCCACTCACTTTGTATGATGCATTATAAAACTGTCACTCATTGTGTATATCACACCTAACGATGGTATCAAGGGCCTTGATTAGAGGCTTATGCTCAATGACCAACAGTAGCGCAGGACACCTACTTCCTCACTTCAAAAATAAAGATCCATTTCTTTAACTGGGTGCTGGTTTACAAGTTTATTTTGTAAAGATTATGTTACTTTCTAAATCTAAGTTATACTTCCA